ACATTTATTCAATTCGGAATTTCCTGGCAATGTGGCTGAAGCGACTTGAGGCTGGCATACAACAATTATTACGTTCCTATATTAAAATGAAAAAAGATAGTATACTATATTGCAACTAGTACATATTCGTACTTCCACTACTGCGTATGTGCAACTTTATTATATATGAATGTATGCATGTACAACATGCAGAGCTAGTTTTACACTGTAAAGAAAGAGCCCAGAGATGATTATATGAATAATAATGAATTCCATATTTAGTAAACAAACAAACTTACACACACACACACACACACTCACACTATGAGGCGTAGCAGAGCTGCAAGTTAAATGTAATTTTTAGTAAGGTGTAGTCGCTGCTGGATAACGTACTACTACTGCTACTACCACACGCTAGATGGCGCTTAACACGGCACTAGGAACTCCACTAAACTCCAGTATTATACGTACATAGGAACGAAGCGCATACACAACTCCTAGCATACTATCTACTGTATAAGCGTATAAACAATATAGTATATATTATATACATTTAGTATATGAAACAAGGTATTTGTAGATAAACATGAGCTGAATACCAAGCAGAAACAATTATAAATAGTTATTATAATTAATTATAATGATACTACAAAATAGAATGTGCCTGCGTAATATATTTTTAGCCAAGACAAAAAAAAAGAAACCAATTGAATTGAGAAAAACATAAAATACACACACATACACACTTAGACAAGTGAGAAGTTGCAAATTTTATTAGAGAGAAATTTCCAAAGAGCTCAAAATTGTCATTTGATTTCTAGTTTCGTATATAGGTATGTCGCAAGAGCATCAAGAGAGAAAAGCATACGTAAAAAGGTTCCTATAATGTTAATCAAAACGAAAAACTAACTAAAATTAAAGCAAAACTAAAACTCAAAAAAGCAGAAGAAGAAGAAGAAGAGAACGTCTTATATTCCATTTCGACACGGACAATTTTACAGTTGTGTAGCCCATAGCAAATACATATGCACCCATGCATGTGTATATGTGTACTCCTACATCTATTATAATTTATATACATAGAAATATATACATGCATATATATCTATATTTTACTATATATATATGTGTGTATGTGTATATATTTTAGTTTGGCCAATTGGTTGGAGAACGCGTAGCTCGTAAAGGCAAGAAATGTATCCTCACTTTATGTACGCCTCGATGAGGCGATTATGTTTTTGTTTAACAATAAAGAGCAAACGAAGAAAAGTCGAGTGAACGAGTCTCTTATTCAGTGAATCTACTCTACGCAGATATTTGCATTTGTACTGATCTATTGACATCCATGTGTTTGTTCCATCAACAGTTTCGCGTCGCTCGCTGGAGATGCGCGTGCGGGCCACAGATCCGCGGCCCTGCCCGAAGTGCGGCAAGATCTATCGCTCGGCCCACACGCTGCGCACCCACCTGGAGGACAAGCACACGGTGTGCCCCGGCTACCGGTGCGTGCTGTGCGGCACCGTGGCCAAGTCGCGCAATTCGCTGCACTCGCACATGTCGCGGCAGCATCGCGGCATTTCCACGAAGGATCTGCCCGTGCTGCCCATGCCGAGCGCCTTCGATCCAGATCTCGCCTCGCGGCTGCTGGCCAAGGCCGGCGTCAAGATATCGCCCGCGGAGCTGCGCGCCCGTGCCTCGCCCACCGGCGGCAGCGGCAGCAGCGGCGGCGCCGGCAACGGCGGCAACGGCTCCCAGAAGCTGGACCTGAGCAACGCCAGCGGCGGCCCCCTGGACGACGCCGACGACTCCGACGACGACCCCGAGGATCTGACCACCGGCAGCGTGCTCTACGGCAACAACGCCAACGACCTGAGCCGCTACCACGAGAGTTTGCTGAGCAACTTCGGGCATGCCAACACCACCATTTCGCGCATGCGGAACGAGGCTGCGGCGGCAGCAGCTGCCGCGGCTGCCATTGGCCAGCAGAAGGAACTCAACGCCGCTGCCGGCGGCAGCAGCAGCGCGGGGCAATCGCTCCTGGACACCTATCTGCAGTTCATCACGGAGAATACTTTCGGTGAGTTTGCAGGCACTCGCATTGATATACAGTCGATGACATGGTTCTCTGTTGCAGGCATGGGCATGACGCAGGAGCATGCGGCTGCAGCGGCGTTGCATGCCGCCAAAATGGCGCAGCTGAATGCCATGGGCCACAGCCTGGACAAACTGCCGGCGGGTCTGCTGCCAGCCCAGTTCGACCTCAGCAAGCTGGCCGGCGCGGCTGGCGCCGCAGCGAGTGGCTTTGGCCAGGGCGCCGGTGGACTCTCCATCGAGCCAATCCTGAGACGCGACCAACAGCAGCAGCAGCAGCAGCACGCGAGCAGCCTCTCACCTGATGCGAACGGAGCGCTGGGGCTCAGCTCGATGGCTCATATGCATGGCAATCTGGGCGCCGGCGCGGGTGGGGAGCCGGATGAAGTGGATGTGGATGCCGAGGCTGAGATACGACGGGACGGGTCAGAGCCCATGGACTTGGGCCTGGGCCTCGACAACAACAATCAGTCGGGCAGCAACAATGAGGCAAACAATTCGGATGCCGAGGAAAATTTCTCTGAGGATGAGGGCGTGCATCACACATAAGCTAGAGGCAATACACACACACACACACACACACACACACATTAAAAGAGAGAGAGAGGGGAGAAAGAGAAACACAGTTAAAGAGAGCGGGTCGTTAATAAGAGAGCAAAAGATATTACGATATTAGGATATTACGATATTCCCATATCGGATAGTGAAGAACAAAGGATATTACTTACGTCTTTGCGATATTCGTATATTGTAAGTCGAAGAATCATCCTCGTCGTCGTCTTCGTCTTCGTCGTGAACAGTTGTATACCCAGAAAATGGAACATTTGTAACGAGTAGCCTTATCCTCATGTATACCAGTTTACGTGTACAATATATGCATATGATAGTTACGATAGTTACCTAGGACCTAGAATCAGTTCATGGAATAACATCATGACATGTGCTGCGTTTATTATATATACATACATATATAGTAGAATTTATGTTGTGCTTTTCAAAGACGGAAACAGAACCTATGTGAGTTGGAATAGAAGACAGATAAGCATAAATATGCTCACATACATATACATACTAATCTATATATAACATATATATATGCTTTATAAAACTTTATGTATACACATGTACCTGTTGTGTGTATGTAAAAATGCAGTTTAGGAATGCAAGAACCAAGACAGTCTCAAATTCAACTCCAAAATACCTAAACATAAACCTAGATCTAGGTAAATATATGCAGATACATATATATCTTCACATATATATATATATACATAAAATTTAGTGTTAGCAATTCAATTCTGTAAATAGCTAAGAAACAAGCAAGCAAGCAAAGAAAGCATTTAAGTGGACTATACGCATACTCCAATTGAATACTCTATGAAAATCCGTCTCAGTTTTTGAAATGTATATGTGTGTGTTATCATGAAAGAGAAACAATTCAGATGTGCCATGCCACAGCCTACCTATATACATATATATATACTATTTATAATGCTAACCATATCTCAGGAATACACGCAGAACAACCAAACTACCTCAGCTGAATGAAATTGTGTGAACCATCCAATTCGTAATATATCTTCCACATAGCTCTGCGTTCGTTATGGTCAGACTTGCTTATAACATACATATACATCCATGCATATATATAACTTTCACAGCACACTTGACAGCTGCCTAGTTTTAGGTTCTACATTGGATGAGTGCAAGAAAAAAAAAAAAAAAAAAAAAAAAAAAAAGGATCAGAATCAGAAAAGGAAAACTCGAAAAACTCAAGCCAATTTTATATTATAGATTTTAAAACGATTTTCAGGCAATGTAAATTTCAAATATTATTTATACGAATGAGAGTTACAAATACATATACACATACATTTATACATATATACGTTTATATATGTGAGCATAGTTTTTAATTGTAAACCAATTTGTTTTGGGGTTAAATGTAACTGAATCAAATACCTCAAAATACTCAGTTCACTCTTAATTTATACAAGGCACAAAAGAAAAAGAAAACGAAAAATGAAAAATGAAAAACACGAATTGCACTAAGATAAATTGAAAGGTTTCTTCATGTTATTATATGTCCGATTTCCTCCTACATGTACATTTAGTTTGAATATACCCAAAATTTTACTAGTTTTACTGTTAGTTTGAAGACGAAACTCTACAAGAGTTGAAAACTCCCCCACTTGCCTTATTATAATTATGAATATGTGTTAATTTTTAGTAATTTGTCTACCTCAATTAATTTAACTATTTTATTATTTAAGCGCGCAATCTTGAATATACATATACATATACACATATATACTTTGTCGCTTTGTAATTGTGTTTCTTGAACTAAATTACACGAGTCATCAAATATTTAGCATAAATTTTATTGAATATGGAAAATGAGTAGAAAATAAATTATATATATATTTATATATAAATAAAGCAAGTTATAAGTAAATACAAATATGTTAAATTTGTTTACATCTCTCACTCACTGTCCATTTACCTTGGTTGTGCTTACATTTGTTTTATTTCAAGCATGTCCACTGCAATATGCATTTTGATACGTAAACCTTACATGCACTCACACACACACCACCAACACTTTCCCACACAATATGCAATTAAGTCGCTAGAATTAAATGAGTTAGTTAAATAAAAGTTACATAAGCAATTTAAGTAGAGATCCATGTGCTTAGAAAGTTATAAATATTTATTAAAATTACAATAAAAATGCGTTGAAAAGAACCAACCATCTGATTTTCATTCTCTATTTAAATTTGAATTTCACCTAACATAACGGAATGATAGTTGTGCAGCCCTGAATGCGATCTGGGCGATAGCATTTGAGTATCTAAGAAAGTTATCGATTTCGATAAAGACGCCTGCTGCGGTCGTGAGTGTCAAACTACAATGAAGAAGCTCGAAGCGGCATTTGTTTCGAATTAACTGTAAAGAAATGTTATATGAAAAGAGTTCGTTTGTCGATTAGTGTCGTTTTTTATCTTAGAAATATAAAGAAAAATTGTCTAATTGTGTTGTTGTTTAAATATGTCCGCCAAAAACGCCATTCAGGTGTGCATCAAGGTGCGTCCATGCGAGCAGGACAAGACCACATTGTGGCAAGTGAAGGACAATCGCGCTATTCAGATCATCGATGGCCAGTCCGAGCCCTGCGTCTTTGGTAAGTGAAAGACAAAGACCCTCTCTGTTGAGACACATCTACTGAATCGGTCTTTGCAGACTATGTCTTCGATCAGGATACGAACAATCAAATAGTATTCGATTGCATGGCCAAGCACATTATTGAAGCCTGCATGAAAGGCTTCAATGGCACGATCTTTGCCTACGGTCAAACTTCGTCGGGCAAGACGTACACCATGATGGGCGATGAGCAAAATCCAGGTGTAATGGTTCTGGCTGCGAAGGAGATCTTTAAACAGATTGCTCGCCACAGCGATCGCGACTTTTTGCTGCGGGTCGGTTACATTGAGATTTACAACGAGAAGATCTACGATTTGCTTAATAAGAAGAATCAGGATCTCAAGATTCATGAGAGCAACGGCATGGTGCATGTCAATTGTGAAGAGTGCATCATTACCAGCGAGGAGGACCTGCTGCAGTTCCTGTGCATGGGCAACAAGGAGCGCACTGTGGGTGAAACCAATATGAATGAACGCTCCAGTCGTTCACATGCCATATTTCGCATCGTAAGCCCGAATTTTTTATTATATTTCCAAGTATATAAGATATACATTTATATATATATTCATTCTGCAGATCATTGAATCTCGTAAAACTGATCGGAATGATGACGATGCTGTTATTCAAAGCCTGCTGAACCTGGTGGATTTGGCGGGCTCCGAGCGCGCCGATCAAACGGGCGCGCGTGGCGCTCGCCTGAAGGAGGGCGGACACATCAATAAGAGTCTTCATTTCCTGAGCAATGTGATCAAGAGTCTGGCTGAGAACGAGGAGAACAAATATGTTAGCTTTCGGGACTCGAAGCTGACGCGCATATTGCAAGCCTCGCTGGGTGGGAATGCATTTACGTCCATAATCTGCAGCATCAAGCCCTCAATTTTGGAGGAATCTCAGTCGACACTGAATTTTGCGATGCGCGCAAAGAAAATCCGTTCCAAACCACAAATGAATGAAATCGTATCCGATGCGACCATGATGAAGCGCCTAGAGCGTGAGATTAAGGAGCTCAAGGATCGTTTGGCTGAGGAGCAGCGCAGAAATGAGAGCCAGATCAAGGTGCGTCTCTTGGAGCAAAGAATCAAGACGGATACGTTGAAAATAATAAGCAGCAATACAATCGCTGATAACCGCAATAAGAATCGTCGACGCACATGGTGTCCAGCTACATCGAATCCACACCCTGTGACAGCCAATGGCGACGAGGCCGCGGCGCCCAGTGCAGCTGCTGCGTTTGCTTTCAATGGACAGCACAAATTTTCGGGCTTACCGAAGCCCACTTTCAATCCATCAACTCCGTATTTGAGCCACCGGCCCGGCCTAAATGCGCCAAAAACAATAAACATTATGAAGTCTCTGGAACTAACCGAGGAGGAAGAATTTAAACCCTCTGCTGAGTTTAACTTTGGAGATGTCCCGGACCCGATGACCAATAGTCGCATCCTTCCTCCTCTCAGCCTAACTCCTCGCATATCGCAAGGAGATGAACGCAGGTATTTGATGCCTTCCATAGCAAAAATCGCGTCATCATTAAACTCGCTCAATTAATCATCTCATATATTTCATATTAATCATAATCGCTTGCATGCTCTCATCAAACATAAACCCCAACCATGCGTAGTAAGCAAATGATCGAGCGTGATCTTGTGGAGTTATCAACGTTCGTGAAGCTAGAGCAGAACATTGGTAACGAGTGGGATGACCTAAATAACAAATATGCTGTTGCTACAGCTCAAGTCGATGAGCTGCAGTCTGAGAGAATCAATCTAATAGAGCGGTGAGTTGTATCCTACCCAGCATGATTTCAGAGCGAATGGAAGTCAGCTTTGATGATTCGATGTCACCCTATAGGGTTGCGGTATTCGTGCCTATACACTCTAATAAACATTAAACTCCTCGTTAAGTCTACTGCCTCCCAATATATGAAACTACCAGTTTAGGTTTTTTCCCAAATTCGAGAATAGTTTATATACACATATATATTTCTAGAAAGCTTTGACTTATGCGTGAACATCGGCTATCATATACAGAAATTATTATCATCTCAGTCATATGTCACATCAACATCTACAGCATCGAACATACCAGTCTATTTCAACATTTTCAAAATTTATAGCAGTAAATAAGCTGACGCACTAATAATTGGAAATAATCATATATTTAGAACAATTCAGCGCATTTTTAAGGATCCTATGATGTACCTGCTTTTATACCCTGTACCCATTGAAATCATGGTATAATGGTTTTGTTAAAATGTATGTAACAGGCAGGAGGCGTGGCAGACTCCACAAAGTATATATATACTTGGTCAGGGCGTCTGTCCGTATGTTTGAACGCGTCGATTTCTGAAGATATAAGAGGTAGAGACTTCATCCGTATATATAGCGCCGGCGTACTAGAAACTTGTGCTTTGGCAAATATATGCATATTCATGCTATAATCATACTCTGAAAGTTTCATGAAGATAGTCCATCGACAAGAAATGTTATTAAACAATTAAGTTCCCATAGTAATCCTATACTGCGGCCCATGTATGTTTATGTGTGCGTGCGTATGCCGTTTATGTGCGTGTGTGTATGCGTGTTGTTGTTGAAATATCAGTTGCTGGAAGGGCTCAGGGGATCTCGTAGCCGAGCAATCTCGACTAGAGCTTTCTTAATTGTTTTTTATAGATTATATTTCTATACTTTCTCTCTTTGTGCGACTCTCGATAAAACTTACGTTGGCTTTTAATTTGAATGCTCAATTCACCACTTCAGGTGCGTCCCATTACCTATGAACGAAGTCAACTCGTGTTGAACTTCTGTTTGGCGTCTCTTCTATTTTATGGCGTTCGTTTCGTTTCGTCTACTCTGAATCAGTTGCCGACGACGAAGTGAGCGAGAGGCCCGCGCGAGCTGCATCAAGCTGGCTGAAAGATAAACAAATGCTTAGCAAAGCCCACTCACACAGCTGTTGTTGTTAAGCGCTTTGTTTTGATAGCACTGAACTACTACACCTATACATGCATAGGTGATGGGAGCGGGTTTCGCGAATAATTTTTGGCCCAGCCGATCGCCCTGACGTTTGACTGAACGCGACTGCGATAAGCAAAAACGATCTCAACAATCAACCATTTGACGTTGTTTTCGTCGACAAATGTTGTTGCTCCAGAAGTTAATTTTACGTCGAACTCAGCTGTCCAACAGTCTGCGCCGCACCTACCGCTCGACGTGCAGCTCGATCGATGACGTCTTCAGCCAGTCTCATAACTGCTCAATACCCAAATGCTCTCTGATGTAACTCACAAGTAAATTGGCCCTCAACCAAACTTAAGTAGTGTGTGAGTAAATATATATATATACACCTACATGTATATGCATGAGTAAAAGCGAATGCAACAAGCACAGCAAATGATTTTTTTATATTTGTAAATATGCTCGTGTGTATCTGTGCGCGTATGCATGTGTGTGTGCTGTGTCTATTTGTTATAGCTCCAACCTCAACTGGAAGACTGTCTGGGAGCATCTGTGGGCAGCTGCAGCAGTCTCTATTTATAGGTGGCTCGCTATAATTAATGCACGTTCCGAAAAGTAGATCCCAGCCACAACTGTCAGCGAACTTTAAAGTTGTGCGTTCTTTGAACAATTTGTATTTTTTATTCCGGAATTCAGTTTTAATTAAGCAATTTTAGATCTGATCTGCCATCGATACTAATGGTCTCCATTCTTTTCAGCTGTGAAGCCCTTCAGGCCGAGGTAGATGCTCTGACTAAGTCGAAGCAAGCAGCTGATACAAAACTCGAGCAGTACGAGGAGCAGTTGAACACGTTGAAGCAAACTGTCGAAAGGCTGGAGATGGAAAACCGTGCTGCAATCGATTTGGAGTTTCAGTTCGAGAATCATAAATCGAAGTCGAAGTTGCGGGAAAATGAACTGCTGTCGGTGCTGTCTGAGAAGACTGACACCATAGACAATCTGGAGAAGACACTCAAGGAATTGTCTAAGGATGTGCTACGCAACAGTAAGGAGGATCATATGCGTTCCATGTGTCCGGAGATTGAAGTCAGCTGTGAGCGCATCTGTGACAAGTGTGTGGATTTGGAGCGCATGCTGGAGGAGTTCAAAAAGACAACATCCAACGGTGATGCCGCCCAGGTCATTGATTCTGAACGTGAGCAGCTGCGTGCGGAGATCGCCAACACGCGAGCTCAGCTGGAAAGTGTGCAGAGCGCCTACAGACAGATGGAAACAGATGTGGCTGAAAAGTCGGAGCTATGTGACCGTCTAAGCCGCGACGTCATCTCCGCCGAGGAAGCCAAGACTGTGCTCCAGGAGAAATGCGACGACTTGGAGATTGCACAGCAACAGCACGATGAGGTCATACGAAGAATGCAGGCCGAGTACGAAGCCATTCAGGCAAAGTACCAAAAGCTACAGCAGGATTATGAACTGCTCGAGAAAACCACTGCCGCTTCAGAGGAGGAACATCAAAAGCTGTTGCTTCAAAATGAAAGTTTGCAGCAGGAGATTAGCACGTTGAAGGAATCATTCGAGCAGGTGCAACAGACGCTGCTGCAGAGCACAAATGAAGAAGATAAGTCGGTACTTCTGGATCAGCTGAAGGCCCACAATGATGAACTCGTCGCGAACCTAGCTCAATTGGAGGCCAAGTATAATGAAATGCAACACGAATACGAAGACCTTTCGAATCAGCTAGTTGACAGCATGCAGGATGGGGACAGCCTCCGCGAGCAGTGCAACGCGCTACAGGGGGAGCTGCAACAGCATCAAACAGCAACAGCAAAAATGAGTGATGAAAAGGACCAAAGGATCGAGCAGCTGCTCTCACATATCCGTGAGCTGGAGAGTGAAGTTGCTGAGAAGAATAGTCTTATAGATGCAACGGAAGGCACGATTAATGAGATGCGTGAGCAGATGACTAATCTGGAGTCGGCCCTGCTGGAGAAGTCGGTGATAGTCAACAAAGTCGAAGACTATCAACGGCAAATCGAATCGCTCGAGAAGCAGCATGCTGAAATGACAATGGTCTGCGAGGAGCTGCAGGAGAAAGTCAAAGAGAACACTATTAACGAGAGCGAGAGCCAGATCATGTCGAACAGCGCACAGACTCTGATGAGTGAAGAGGACGGTATTTCGAGGCAAAGCAACGAGGATGTTGCAGCCAAATTGTCTGATTTGAATGCTGAGGTTAATCGCCTGCAATCGCAAATCCAGTTGAAAGATGAGCTGATTGAAAAGATTCAGTCTGAGCTACACGTGCTAAACGACCGATTTATATCCATGGACGTTTTGCACGCGGAATTACAAGCCAATGCCCAGACGAATCAGGGGCTACTCGAGCAGCAGGCTGCCAAATTGACGGAAGATGCAAATCGCATCGATAAACTTCAGGAGTCCAATGCACAGCTGCTCGAGCGTTGCTTGAAGGCTGAAGAAGCTGCCGAAGCATTAAATCAGCGTCTTGCACAGCCGTCAGAACTGGAGCGCTTAAAGCAGGAACACGAGAAACGCGTCACCGAGCTGCAAATCGAACTGGATAATGCCAAAAGGGAGCTGAATTCGATGGAGAAACAGAATAAGGATCATCTGAATAACATTCAGCTCGAGTACTTACAGAAAATTGAGCTCAGCGAGTGTGAGTATCGTGAAAATCTGCGCAAGTACAATATTGAATGGGAAGAGAGCAAAGACCGCTACGAAGCGTTGTTGCAGGAATTGCAAATTCAATTAGCATCGACTGAAGAGCGTTGTGCCAAACTGAGCGCCGATAGCGAAGCTGAGATTATGTCCGTCAAGAATGCCAATAGCGTGGCTGTCGATCAATTGGTCAAAGAGAAGCAAGATCTGGAGTCAATGTATGATGCAAGCCAGAAGCTTGTGCAACAGATGACAGCTCAATTAAGCAGCAAGGAACAGGACGCACAGAGAGAGCAGGCATTGGTCACATCTTCTAATGATAAGCTGCGTGAGAAGTACGAATCGCAAATTCGTGAGTACGAGCGGCTGAAAACCGAGCATGAGCTTACTTTGGAGAAGCTGAAGATAGAGAAAGGCACATTGCAGTCGTCTGTTGCTGAAAGCGAGCTAAAGATCGAGCATTTGAGCAATGAACTGCTCAAGGAGCAGAATGAACGGGAACAGCAGAAGAGCATGGCGCAACAGTTGCAGGATGAGCTGAATGCGTATGACGATGAAGAGGCTGACTATGAAGAAAAAATTGAAATTTTAAATGCCAAGATTGAAGTCCTGTCAAATGAGCTGCGGCAGGCAAATCGAAAGGCTTCTGATTTGGAGGGACTTCTGCAGGACCATGAAGAAATCCAAACTTCTCTTTGTGCGAAAAACGATCTCAATATACAGCTCGCTCATAAAGTGGAGAATCTTGAAAGAGAATTGTCTTCGGCTAACAATGAGCTATCAACGCGAAAGGCTGAAGTTGAAAAGCTGAACTTGGATCTGCAACAGGGATGTGCCCAGCAGTCCAAGTTAATGAACAAACTACAAAAGCTGGAAGCGGAAATTGCACAGCAGGCTAAACAATTCGAACGCAAATTGTTGGACCTGGAAAGCGCAAAGGGAGAGCTACAATTGAAACTTGATGCACTGATGAGTCAAAACCTAGAGGCAAATGCCTTATGCAATCAGCTCACAGCTCAGCTTAGGAATATGTTAAATGTACAGGATCTTCTGAAACGGGAACAAGAGCAGGCAGCTCGACTTCAAGTAGACAAAGAAAAAGTCGAAGAAATCAAAAATCGAATTGAAAAAGACAAAATCAGGCTCGAAGAGGTCAATGCTAGACTCGTTGAGGAAAAATCACGACTGGAGATAGAAATCAATCAACTTCTGGTGCATAAAGAACGACTAGAAGAGGCTAATGCAGAGCAGCAGTCGAGATTACTAGATAAGGAGGCGAACTGCGATGCTTTGCAGCAGCAATTGAGACATCAGGAGCGCCGTTTCCATGAAAATAAAGCTGAACTCCAGAACAAGCTAAACGCCATGGAAGCAAGCTGCGATGCCATGAAAGCAGCTTCCGAGCAACAGAAGATAGCTTTCGTACAACTGGAGGAGCGGCTGGCAGCGAATCTTGCAGGAGACAATAAGAATGTCGATGAATTGCGATTGAAAAATGAAAACTTACAAAAAGATATTGATAATCTTCGCTCTTCCCAGGTAAGTTTTCACTTATTTAATTGTTATATATTATGTCACATTGCTCGATTGCAGATAGCGAACAGGAGCATCTTTGAAGAAGAACGTAAACGCCTGGATTATACAATTTCTAGTCTTTTGGAGGATAAGCGCAGCTTGGAGGAGAAGCTTTGCACAACCACGGAGATACTGAAGAAGCTGGAGGCAGAGTTACGAATCAAATCTAATGGCAGCAATACCTCATTCGACTCAAGCGCATCGAGTACATCGCCTGGTGCTAGAAGAAGTGTGGATCGTGATTTAAACCAGCCCAGGGTAGAAACGCTTTTTTTTTGTTATCATAGCCCTCCAATTATTTATACTTATCAAACGTATATCTTACCCATAGAAATCTGTGAGTATTGATTCTGAGGTACGCAGAAATCGGCGAATTAGCACACATGATGAACGAAGGCGTCAATCCTACTGGAATGATTGCCGTCATGTGGGGTGCATGACGGATGCCGTGGGTAGGTTTACAGAACTAATACATTTGAACAGTTAGATAATCTCCTTTTCATGCAGATAATAATTGCAACTGTGCAGAGCTTGACCGAAAGCTGCAGGATTGCCAGCGCGAGCTGTTCATAAAGGAAAGCATGGTGACTGCTTTAAAAATAGAGTTGAAGAACCATCCATTAAAGGAGGAGACAGCTCTATTAAAGAAACGTCTCCTTGATGAACAAGCCAAAGCGCGTGATGAAATCAAGCGTATGAAACAAAAGAACGCGGAACTTATGAGTAAAATAAACGTATACACTGCTTCTGCAGCCATCACGGCCAGTAACCGAACTCCCGTTGAGGGAAAAACGGTTGAGACCCAAACAGAATCCAGTTTAGAAGCGGAGCTAAAAAAGATGACTGATAAGCTCCATGATAGCATACAACTGTGTCGTCATCGATATAATAAAATAAAAGACTTGGAAAGTCAGTTAAGACAAAATGAAAATAACGATACCTCCAATATATCGTCTCTAACAGCTGGTCAAATCAGCGCTCTTAAGGTATACGTCTTTACAGTTCTGAATAATTGAACCAGCAGAAACTAATCCAAATTTGTCTACATTTACAGTCCAAATTGGAGGCGCAAAGGAGAGAAATATCCACGATTACCAACAAATATGAATACGCCAAAAGGGCACTTAAAATGCGACGCGATGAGCTGGATGAACTGCGGCAAGTCGCTGGCATCGATGCTGTAGAATCAACAAAATAAATTGTTTGTTTGTTTTTTTTTTATTATATTTTTCATAGTATTACAGCGTTGAGTGATTATATGTATATTTAGGATATATTTGTTTAAGTGTATAATTAGATTGATAATATTGAGTGCCATTTGTACCACTTACATTTTAAATTCAAGCACTCATAATTTAAATAAATTTATTTTTGGCGCCCTCTGTAATAATGTGATAAAGTAAATTTAGGTGGGAACATTGTAACCCAGCTTATCGATATACCCGATACAATACGCTTGATAATACAAGAGTTGCATTGCAAAGATATCGAGCAGCTATCGGACAACCACCACACACATATTTAATCTTGTATTAAAAAAAAGTGATTCTGCTTAAGTGGGCCATGAATTCGGCAACAAAGGTATAATAAAAGCAGAAGCAGTTAATTTTAATTAGTTCAAGTGTATTCCCCAACCGATATGTCTCTTTTCCTATGTGCGTTGCAAAATTTTTGGCGGTTGAGTGTCCCTCGTTCAGTTCACCTCACTCCTTCGAAAGCAAATGTTAGCGAAATGTTTTGCTTCAAGGGGCGCGTTTGTTTTGAATTTGCAACGCATGCTAAGGCTAAACATAACAACAACACGATTTGAATGCATACGTATATAAATAATTGTTATTTTACACAGGTTGGGGAAATTTTCACGGCAGCGGGCCAAGCGTTCAGCAGACTCGGCGATCTGACAATGCAATTGCATCCAAATGCCGAATCTCCCTCTGGGTAAGTGAGAGTTGGCTATAAATGAAAAAGAGCTTTAATTAAAAACGAAGTACAACTGAATTTCATGTTCCCTCGCTATGCCACAGTAAATGGACAGATGAGGAAATTGACATGTTACACTCGTCCATAATGCGCTTCTCCGATGATCTGAGCAAAATCAGTTTAAGCATTAAAAATCGCACAGTGTAAGAGCGAGAGAACATGATATGAAATAATATGAACTCAATAAAACAAACTCTGCTTCCTACAGCTCCCAAATACGACAGGCATTGAAGAAGAAGGCTTTTGAGGATGCTGGCATACCAGCCAAGCAAGTGCCCGTGCAGCAGGTGCAACACGTTATACAAACAGTGCAACAGTTGCCAATCGTCCAGCAGCAGCAGCAGCCACAGCAGCAACACGTATTCAAATCTCACATCATACAGCAGCAGCAGCCGCAGCAACAACAATCGCAGCAGCAAGCAAAGCAAATTATATTGCAGCCACAGCAATCAACGACAACAACAACGACAACAGTGACAATCAAACAATTTCAGCAAATGCAGCAACAAAAAGCAGCAGCTTTAGCCGCAGCGCAAGCTGCTGCAGCAGCAGCAGCCGCCAACACGCCAACCATCACAGAGAACATCATCATACAGCAGCCCACGTCAACGACAGCGATGCAGCAAACATCACTGCCAATTGTGGCGACAACTGCAACACAACAAATCATTGTGCCTGCCAACTCAAATAGCTCAGTATTGTCGCCAAGTGTCGGAGCAACAGCTGTAACAGGTGGTGCAGTGGGCGCCGTTGTAGTAGCAGAGGATGTGGTGAGCACCACCTCAAACACCTCGACGAATGCTGGTCTCAAGTGCGGGCCCGATGTATCGATGACACTGAATAGGATAAATGTGCAGGAGAATGATGTGGAGGAGTGCCTGCCCGCAGAGGTTGTTAAGCTGGACTTTGTCAGCGAGGAGGTGGCTGGGTGAAGTTCAATCCCTGTTGTTGCAGCTGAAAATGAAACTGAAACTGAAGCGGAGGAATCGAGCGGCCTGGGCGAGCACTTCTATTATTAGTAATAAATAAATGTTGGAAAGAAGCTTCAACTAAATCATCCTCATATATATGCATAAATATGTATATATATTGAAAACGTAATTTAAAAATTTTAAACTGAAATTAAGGGCTTGATAAGTTTGATGTATTTAATTGTTTTGCCGCATCTACACATATACATATATTTAAGAACAGATTTACTAGTGCAAAGTACATAACAAAATTGATCTGAGATGAGAAAGGAATAAATGAGCATAATTATAGACATTCCGTTTTTTTATTATCAATATAGAGATTTTTCATATTCAATATTTTTTCGAATACTCAATACATTTTTTGCTTAAAGTACAAACGTTGAGCTGCATACTAATTTTAATTTAATAACAGCCGGATAACTAACAGTTGTGCTCCTCTCTGAACATAGTCACTCCTCCGTTAACAGCAGTTTCTTATAGCTATGTAAATAAAAAAAACGCAGAAAACATTTTTGTTAGGACGCACATCGTCAGCGGACTAAAAAATGAGTATAAAATACTTGCTAATATTTTGCATGTACTTTGTTGGGTCTTTGGCGTACAAGCCAGTTGTGGTACTCCATGGCATATTATCGGGAGCTGAATCTATGACGGTTTTGGTGCGACATATTGAGACAGTAAGTGCTGGAGTCGAACCGTTCTTTGTTATTGTTTATTTGTCTCCAATGACAAGTTCAAAGTCAATTTTTAATTCCATTTGTTTACTATTTAGTTGCATCCGGGTACAGTTGTGTACAATTGTGATAAGTTCAGCGGGTGGTATAGTCTGGAGAATGCCTGGCGGCAAGTCCAACAAATAAAAGATTATATAGGTGAACTAAAGTTATTTAAAAGATCTCATATATTAATTATTTCTGTATAATTTTAGATCAAATTGGAAAACTTCACCCGGAAGGCATAATTGTGTTAGGTATGTCAAAATTAGGAATCGTCTTTGGATTATGTTGTTGATTGCTGAACCTTTATGCAGGCTACTCTCAAGGTGGGCTCTTGGCAAGGGCGGCTATTCAAAGTTTACCCAACCACAATGTAAAAACCTTTATATCGCTATCATCACCTCAAGCTGGACAATATGGGAGTATGTAATATATAAAAATATATATGATTAACACTTATAAAACTTCTTTACGCTTTCAGCAAGTTTCTTGCACTTAATTTTCCCGGATCTTGCGGCAAAAACCGCATTTGAGCTATTCTACACGCGGGTGGGGCAACACACATCTGTAGGCGGCTACTGGAATGACCCGCATAAGCAAGACTTATATATGAAATATAGTGAATTCTTACCATTGATTAACAATGAGAAGCTGAGCTCCAATTCAACTTCGTTCAAAATGGGTATGGTACGGCTGAATAAGCTTGTCCTAATTGGAGGACCAAATGATGATGTTATTACACCATGGCAATCTAGGTAACATATATATTATTATTAATAATATTAATTAATTATTAAAATATTATTATTATTATTAAACTATATTTTCTTCAGTCATTTTAGTTACTTCAATGAATCATTGAATGTGATTCCGTTTTATAAACGGGAAATATACATGAATGACTCAATCGGATTGAAGACCTTACTGGAAGCTAATAAACTAATTATTATTGTTAAACCATTCGTACATCACCTCTCGTGGCATTTGAACAAACGAGTTATCAATGAAGTCATAATGCCATACTTGGATTAAACAAATTTAACCTTAAGCGAGTAGAAGCAGGCTGTGATTCGAAAGGAGTGGTACAGAATGGGTAAACATTTAATTTTGAACTGACTTAAGTAAGGTTGATAAAGTATATACAAGTATATGCTATATATGGATAGCTTTGTTCTATCCTATTTAATAATAGTTATTTTTATATAATATAGAGATTCAAAGATATTTGTAATTACCATTGAGATTATGGCTATCAAGCAACAAAAAATATTTAAGCAAGGTGAACAATCTACTTTTAAATATTTTGTCTGGAAAGTTTGAAAAGATTTTTTTAATATTAATTATTTTTAATTACACCATTTTTTGAAATAAAATAGTAAATTATATATTAAATTTGAGCATATCGTAAAAGTAGCTTATTTTGCATATTTATTATTTATTATTTTATTTATTGACTTGACTTATTTTTGATAAGTCAAGCGACAAAGTTCTAAAGATTATGGATCTAACTGCATATCTTTGAAAGAGATTTGTTTCCGTTATTTCATTCTCTCAAAAGGCACGAATATACTTATTAGCTTAAGTAATTAGATTCTGATATATTAACATTTCATTAGTCAGGGTCACCAACGAGTATACCTAGACATACGGACTGACGGACGGGCGACACGAAACAATATACATACTCTTTAATACATAACTTTGCTAACTGCTCAGTAAGCAGCGACTGCGCTTGGGCTGCGCTGCAGTGTGAGCAATATTATGTGGATTTATTTGTTGAATAATTTAATTTCTAGACGTACAATCCAAAATCTATAAATTACAAAACGTTTGTATTCCTCATATGTAAATCTGAAAAAACAAAATCAACTTTTTTGGATACAAAGTTATCGGAAGATTTATCGAAAAAAAAACGGACGGACGGACGGGCTATATCGACTCAGCTCGTCGTCCTGATCAATAATATATATACTTTATGGCTTCTGCAATGATTCCTTCTGCTCGTTACATACTTTTTCACAAAACCATTATACCCTGATTCCCCATTTTCAATGGGTTCAGGGTATAAAAATATTTTAGATTACGAAGTTAAGGAACTCGAAGCTAAGACATCAATGGCTTAAGTATACTTTAATAATTTATTCTCAATGGAATCAGTATTTAAAAGCTTTGTCCTTAAATATGTTCAAGGTAATGCGCAGGCTGTTGAAGGGAATAATACCTTAAGTGAACGTGGGATGATCGAAAAAACGATTAGGTATTTGTGCACGGCTATAAATAGCCAAGAATTATCAATAAGCATATAAGCATATTGCAGTCGGGCGTTACCAACTTCATTTTTAGACTCTTCATTTTTGGCCACTTCACAGAACTAGCTAAAGGTAACCTAATTTTAAAATTTGGATGCTTACGCTCCATAATTGTGAAATTACAGGGTTTTTTCGATATACTACGCCCCTAAAGAGGCGTAATAATTAACTTTGGGCCACAAATTGAGGAGGTTAATAGTAGTTTAACTATCTAGCTTTTATACTTTAGGAGATATAAACTTTTGCGGTTTGGGCGGACATATATCTGCCAACACTTTTTGGTCTTGGAGGTCAGCCCGAGTATTTATACCAAACTTGAGGTCTCTAGCACCAAACTACGCCCCTACTGGGCGTAGACATATACATATACTACTTACTACTCATTAAACTTTATAGAATAATAACATCTTACGTGCAAAATTTCAGGGGTCAAGCTGTAAAACTCTTGGAGATACAGTTTTATTTGATTTGCCACGCCTCCAATGGGTGTATATATATCGACGGGGATCGGAGATATCCACAAGTATTTGTTCCAAATTTCAAGTCTCTAGCTTCAATAGCGCCGAAAAAATTTGCATGCATACGCACAGGCGAACAGACAAACAAACGGACGGACATTACACAAAACCAATATACTCATTTCTCTTTCGTGAATGAGTATAAAAACACTCCAGTACTGTGTCACGTCTGATAAGGTCTACAGCTACTCTCTTATCTGTCGCGCTTAACTTGAGAAATCCCATTTCGCAAAGCAAAAGTCGCAGACCTATGGAGAACATGGCAGGAACAGTCGCAGTTGAAAATAATGCAGACAATAGCATCCGCATATTGGTGGCCACGGACAACCACTTGGGCTACGTGGAGAAGGACGCAGTGCGAGGCGAAGACAGTTTTACGACTTTTGAGGAAATATTGGAACTGGCAGTGTCCGAGAATGTGGATATGATATTGCTTGGAGGTGACCTATTTCATGACTCAGTGCCAAGCCAGTATGCGCTGTACAAGTGAGTAGTTCACTAACAATAAATCTTCAAATTGAAAATAAACCCGAATTCCTCTTGCAGATGCTTCGAATCGCTGAGGCGATATACTTTTGGAGATAAATCCGTATCGTTGAAAATACTAAGTGATCAATCGCTTTCTTTTCACAGTGCACTCAATCAGTCGGTAAATTACGAGGATCCCAATTTAAATATTTCGATACCAGTATTTTCTATACACGGCAATCATCACGACCCGAGTGGCTTTGGCCGATTGAGCTCCTTAGATTTGCTTAGCACAACGGGTCTAATTAACTACTTTGGTCGCTGGACAGATTTTTCAAGAGTGGAGATAAACCCCATCTTGATCCGTAAGGGCGAAACCAAGTTGGCACTCTATGGGCTCAGTCACATCCCTGATGCACAACTAGTACGTATGCTAGAGAAGTCTGAAATCAACTTTAATAATGATCACCTGTCTGGAGAGGAGTACCGATTGATGGTGGTACATCAGAATCGCGTAGATCGCGGTGGTCGCAAGAACAAATTGCACCTAAATGAGGACGATGCAGCAGAAAGGGTGTTCAACTTTGCCATAAACCGTGTAGAGGCCTTGATAGAGAGGGCCAAGGGTCTGCTCACGGGTCATCCAAAGCAGCCGACGATCCCTCTAATACGTCTCCGTCTCCGATACACAGATGAGACGCACATGTTCAATACCATTCGTTTCGGGCATCTCTTTGGCACTCGTGTGGCTAATGTCGCGGATGTTGTGAGGTTTACGAGGCTTACCGAAAATCATACGGCAAATGCAGGCAGAGCCTCTCTGGAGTCCGCCATGGTAAGGACCCATTATTAATCACCCAAAAAATTTTTTTTCTAACAAAGTAAATGAGTATTAGGAGCTGGATGATCTGCCATTAGAAGATTTATTAGATCGGTATATCGAGGATATACCGCTCACGCTATTTCACTCCAAGGTATTGAAGGAAGTTACAGTGCGAATGGTGAAGCATTCAGATGGCCATGCAGCGGACCAGATTTTCAAGTGAGTATCTCGATATAGAAGGAAGAGTCTTTAATAAATACTATAATTGCAGATATTACAGTGATAAAGCAGTAGATCACTTAATGCAAACGATGCCTTCTCTTGATAATATACAAGACGAAATAGAGAATTTTAGACGACGGTACAAGTCCGACGATTTTCTTAATGCATTGAATTCCCTTGGCACTAAGACACGAGCTAAACGTCCAGCTGTCAATCGCAGCACTGTTCCTAATGATGCAAAAACGACATCTGGAGGCAAGCCTCCTAGCAGAGGTGGACAAGCTGTTACTAAAAGATTAAAGGTTTCAATCAAAGATAGCCAATAACGCAAAAGTAAGTTTCATTTGAGTAAATCATTGTCCCCTGCACAGATGTCTTCAAACGAGTTACAATTAATCTTGGACGTTTTTAAATTATCGAACGTACAAAAGATTGAAAAATAATCTACCTTATCTCGGACTATACTAACATACTGCAAGCAACATTGTTTATTGGTCTCGTTATCAACCGATTGTACATCATTGTAAATTTATTGTTTTATTATTCTGACCATGTCGATTCTATTTGATACATAATAATAATGTGAAAAATATTTATGTATATTTTATTTATTTTTGAAGACAATTTAATTTTTGGTTTTACTGTTTAGTATTTTTAATTGTTGACTATAGATTCGTTCTCACTCTAGATTGACAATGAGAAACTGTAAAGCTAATCTTAATCGAAGAAGACAAAGACGATCATTTAACTTGACAGCTTAAATGAAAGTAATTATTAGTGTAAAAGGGTATGTGATAATATACGCTTTTCATAAACAATTCAACAGAAGAAAACATTATTAGGGCGGGCAGGCTAATAGTTGCAACTTGATATTGTCCGACTTTTACAATTACATAATTTATGTTTGTCTTTTTGTTTTACCATTTCAAATCTTGATTAAATTGAAAATTTTTAAGTAAGAAATTATAGCACATATTTTAATAACCACAATAATCGACTTTTGAATATGATTATTTCACAATAGTGAAAGAATTACAGCCCTGCGGTTAATTTCGAAAGCCGTGCTCCAAGACGTTGTATAAAACCTCGGCGCGAAAAAAATAAAAAGGCCGATTGTTTTCGTACGCAAACATACATATATAATTTGATATAAGTGGACAATTCTATTCTCTTACTGCTTCTGCGATTTTGAAAAAACATTAAACTGTTTGGCCAGACAGAAAATACAAGTAGATACATACAAATTTTGAATAAGCCAAGAAAGGTTTTCTTCACCTGTTCTGTTAATTTTTTGAAATAATTTGTTCGCGATGGCCAATATCAGAAGTTGAATCGAGCCACTGACCATAGTCTAGTCGAACATAAGACCATAGTACTTGGCCACGCAAATGCCTTTAAGTAAACGCTGGCGTAGAGCAGATGCCTTAAGACACTGACCAGACAACACATAGACTAGACAATTCGCCGAGCAACATGCCAACATGTCTCAGGTGTTCTTCCATTTGGTGAATCCAGTTTCTTTCTCCAAGAATGCCTGAAGTTCAGAATTTGAAAACAGTGCTTTATTTTGTTGTTTTAAACGTACGGGCCTATTAGCTTAAACTTCAAGGATGCCTACACGAATATTTGAATTGATTTGATTGATAAATGCATGTGTGTGAAACAAATAATTTAATGTTGAGCAGCGCTGCCAGACTTTCCGTCGCGACGCTTATGGCACCAACAACAGCTGATTGCTGACTTATCGATAAATCGCGGCACGTCCCGCGCTTGAGTTGTGAAATTCCTTTTTGGAAAGTAAATTTGTTATAATAAACTGAATTAAATATGGCAGAGACAGATGCAGCTGAAAAAGATGTAGATAATATTATCCGTGTATTAGTAGCCACGGACAATCACTTGGGCTACGCTGAGAAAGACGCAGTGCGCGGCGAAGATAGCTTCACAGCATTTGAGGAAATATTGGAACTGGCAGTGTCCGAGGATGTGGATATGATATTGCTTGGAGGTGACTTATTCCATGACTCAGTGCCCAGCCAGAATGCTATGTACAAGTGAGTCGGGCTGTTATTACAGAGCTTCCACTTTTGTTTATAAATTGAAATTTGTCTTGCAGATGCATTGAATTGCTGAGACGTTATACATTTGGCGACAAGCCCGTACCTCTCGAAATACTCAGTGATCAGTCACAATGTTTTTACAATGCTGTCAATCAGTCGGTAAACTACGAGGATCCCAATTTAAATATTTCCATACCAGTATTTTCCATACACGGTAATCACGACGATCCAAGTGGTTTTGGCCGTTTGAGCTCCTTAGATTTGCTTAGCACAACGGGTCTGATTAACTACTTTGGTCGCTGGACTGACCTTACAAAAGTAGAAATAAGCCCCATCTTGATCCGTAAGGGAGAAACCAAGTTGGCACTGTATGGATTGAGCCACATTCACGATGCACGCCTAGTGCGTATCTTTAAGGACTTTAAAGTGACTATTAATTGTCCAAATGAATCTGAGGAAGATTGGTTCCATTTAATGGTTGTACATCAGAATCGCGCAGATCGCGGCCCGAAGAACTATCTGCCTGAAGAGTTATTGCCAGCTTTTCTGAATTTGATAATTTGGGGTCATGAGCACGATTGTCGCATTGAGCCGGAAGTAAACGCTTTACGCGATTTTTACGTTTCCCAACCAGGCTCGTCAGTGGCCACTTCGCTGGCCAAAGGTGAATCCCTAAAAAAGCACGTGGGTCTGCTGGAGATTTACAAAACGAAGTTTAATCTAAAGCCACTGCCGCTGCAAACTGTGCGTCCATTCATCTTTGAATCAATTGATCTAGAGGACTATGTGGACAAGCTGAACCTAAAGCAGGGCGATGCGTCCACAAAGGTGTATAACTTTGCCATTAAGCGTGTAGAAGACATGATTGAGCAAGCCAAAACTCTGCTCACGGGTCATCCAAAGCAGCCGACGATTCCTCTGATACGTCTCCGTCTCCGCTATACTGATGAGACTTACATGTTCAATACCATTCGCTTCGGTCAAATTTTTGGCACTCGTGTGGCTAATGGGGCAGATGTTGTCAAGTTTGAAAAGCTAATCAAGAGAACGAAAAGTGATAAGGTTAATATAGATAAAGATGCTATGCAGCGTGTTATGGTAAGCAGCTTCTCTGAATGTTAATTTTCATTTCCAATTCAATAATTTCTTTGTGGTTGCAGGAAGTGGAGAACACGGCACGCGTGGAAGAGCTAGTTGATCGGTACTTCGAAGAAGTCAAAGACAAAAATCCGCTCAAGCTTCTACACTCCAAGGCACTGGCGGAGGTTACCTACCGCATGGTCGAGCGCTCCGACAACAATGCCGCAGACCAAATTTTCAAGTTTGTTTCAGCCAATACAAACAAAAAACTTGCTATAAATATTCGAATTGCAGATTTTACAATGAAAAGGCTGTTGAGCATTTAATGGACACGCTGCCTGCCATTGAGAATATAAATGATGAAATTGAGAATTTTAGGCAGCGCTACAAAGCCGATGATCTGCTTAAAATGCTGGATGACTTTGGCGTTAAGACAGAGCCTAAGAGCTCACTTGCCAACATTAAGATAAGCAATGAATCAGATCTGTCTGAGGCGCAAACAACATCAAGTGCCAGAGCTACCGGCCGCGGAGCCAGTCGAGGGGCTGGAACTCGTGGGCGAGGAGGCGCAGCGTCAACTCGAGCTAAAGCTAAGTTAGATGTGTCTGTCAACACTAAAGTAAGCCTCATTTTGCAAACATACCTATGACTATGTTACTCATTTATTGCCTCACTCAGAACTCATCAAGCGCTGCTCAAGGACTTTTGGAATCCTCTAATAGGGGACGAAGAGCAAAGGCAACAGTAACCTACGTTGTCTCTGACGATTCCGACTAAAATATATATGACAGTATCTAACATTACAAATGCAAATATTTTTCGAAGTTGTCTTCAGTGAATTGCACTCGTCTGTAATTTTCTAGTTGTGTATTGTGAATCGGTTCGTTGTCTGTTAGTATTCATAAGTTTGTATATACAATATTTGTTTCACTCAACAAGATTAGAAACTCAAACTAGAAATGCGCTTTTAATCTACTCCAAAAACGGATCGCACCGATCGATTGTCTCATGGATATAGAATCACTGCATTTTCAGTTTTCATTCAAAATAAAGAATTTTGTAAAACAACTTTGTAACACTTAATACTTGTTTATTATGTGAAAACCACTTGAATATAACCTATTTTACACTTAAACTAAAGAGCTACAATAAGAGCTAGCGCCCGTCTCTTAACGCACAAAAGCATGCAAGGATGTAAGGATTTGACCTCACTGCATTCGGATCGGCTCGTTTCTTTGGTAGTCTAGCTGCATCGGCTTTAGATAATGACGATAACCACAACCCACAACCGCACGCACACCCAACTGGAGCAAAGACCTGAGCTCTGTGTCTACTTCTGGTGGTACTCGTAGTAGTAGCGATATGGATCCACCGGGGAGCTGCCGCCGGCAGCTGTTACGCCCACGCCGGCATTTGTTTTCGAGACTGGCCTGATGACGTACGTGTTGCGTCTAAAATGGTTGATGGAGATTGATTTGTACTTGATTTTCTGACTGGACATGCGTAGAGGATCAGGTTACCTGTTGTGCTCGCCGGCGTGCACCTGGAAGCTGGTCTCCTCGCTGTGATCGTGCGAGAAGAGCTTCTTGAGCGCTATAATGCCTGCAATGGTCAGGGCGACTTTGCTAATCACAAGCGCCTTGCCGGCAATCGCGGCCAGCGCCTTCAGCCCGAGCGGACCGGCAATGCCCATTGCCGTTAGCAGGGCAGCAATCACATACTTGATGTGTCCGCCGTCTTTGTGCTTCTTCTTCTTATGCTCATGCTCGCGACCGACGCCTACGTCCAAGTCCAGGTCCATGTCTACTTTGAGCGCATGGGTGCGCATAAGTTTGTCAGCCTTGGAGAGAAGAGCGCGATCGATGGGCGCCAGGTTGCCGAACTGCCTGGCATCAGTCAGCGACCCAATGATGCTCTCAGTGTCGCTTTGATTCTGTTTCTCGAGCACCAGACCGTCCACAATTTTAATGGAGTCCTGGTCCAGGGCGCGCGTCAAGGCATGCAGTGCCTTCTGCTTGAGGCAGCCAACGAAGTCGTTCTTGCCCTGGCAATCGTCGTAAACACGCCGGGCCAATGTCAGCTCCGGTCCTAATCCCCAATCGCTGTTGCCAGCTGGAGCGGCAGCTGTAGGTGAAGCTTGTGCACTCTCGACGATGCTGTGCCGGTGTCGTCTCTGCATTTGAGTTGTGGCGGCCTCCACACCCGCTCCAATGCTGGCGGCACACGCCAGGAGCAGCAGCCACTCGAGACGCGTCATTGTTCTGATGCTGATATATCGTATGAGTATTCCGACTTGAGTCCACTTCCACTTGCTACCAACCGCCAACGATCTTCGAATGATACTCCAGCGAAAACGCTGTCGACTCGGTGCTTTTATAAATTGCGATCCATGGCCAAGGCTGTTCACTCAGTTGGAAAGACGAGGCGAGATCTGGCTGCCACTGGTGTTGGCCAATTAAAATTAGCCATATGTATGCTTTTTGGTTTTTCTTCTTCGAAATTTGCCTTTCTTTGATCGGTATAATCGGCATTCGGCGTTATGGGTCTGACATGTATTCGTTACTTGCTCACCCATGGATGGGATGGATGCTCTTGCTCATTCATGCTCAGATCGCATTCGTGCTGCTGCACTGACTCAGCTGGCCAACTGCATTGCTTTTATCTCACAGATCTTTTAGCTCCTCGCCGGATATCTGATAATACATATTCATATGTATGTAGATGGTTAAGGTCATGAGGTATGTGCCTCAAGTGTAAGGTTGCAGGAGTTCAGCTTTAACTTTGTTACTTTGAAGAAAAACTAAAGCAATTAATAATCATCAAGAAAAATAAAATCGTCAAATGAAATGGCTAATTATGAGAAACAAGTAAGAGTGCTCTTGTTGGGAGTGCCTGACTAGCGAATACCCTACGCCCGCGAGAATATCTGTCATTACTTTTCCAGCTTACATCTATGGAGAGTACACATCCGAGTTTTGTTTTCCGCTTGACTACGTAAATTCCCAGACATACTTTTAAGGGTATTTTATATCGTTTTATATCTACTTATGTACATATGTACATTCATACTAAAAAGTTATGTATTCATAAGTATGCATACATATTCACGTGTACATTCATATACAGATGTTTTTAATTATTTATTAAATTTATGATTGTGATAAGAATTTTGTTTAAATGAATGAAATGGGGAACAAATTACATTGCAAAAAACCGTTTAACTGGTCTGTTTCCATTTAACATACTAAATGTGATTCTGCTGCCCAACCTCTATAGATAATGTAGTATTGTATAGCCCGAAGTTTATTGTCAGAGTCTAAAGAAATTTTTTTTGGAAATCTGTATGTCTTAAGAACTTTGTATAAACGATCCAATGCATAGCAATATATACTTAAGATGTTTTGAGATGTCTAAAAGAATAAATACTTCATATATATAAAAATAATTTATTTATCCCTAATATCCTAAATCGAATAAAAATGGACAAATCTATCTAGGATAAAAGTCCATCTACCAAAGTTGTATAGGCAAGAAGATTTATTTTTACTGATCTTCATCCAAGATAGTATTTATAATATATCCTTATATATATATAGGGTTCTATGCTGGTTTCATACGGTATAGGGTATAGCAAACTGATTTGAGAAATGCATAGCTTGTTAAAGAATTATTCAAGTTAATTATTACAAATCTGAAATTAGTTTAGTAGAACAGACTTCAAGCAACACAAATAGCCAGAGCCTAGGTGGAACAATACTATTCAAAACGGTTAGCAGCAGCAATGAGCCGCCAGATTTTGGAAAATCTAATGCATTTTTTATGATGCGTGCCATAATGCAATTAAGCAGCCAAAGAGCTGGCCGCGGCTGGTCCCTCGCAGCGCCGCCAGCTGCACATGTGCGAAGATGGATCGCTTGGGTTGCTGGCCTCGGCAAGCCGGCGCTGCTCTGAGCTAGGCTGCACATTTGGTGCAGTGGGCCCCGGTGGGTGAAATTGAGTTGAGTACAGTTAGGAAATTTTCTTTTCTTCGCCGCCAACTTGCGCAGCGACTGTAAAAAGCTTGCACGAAATGTGTCTTAGGAGCGCCTGTTTGCTGCAATCTGACAATGAAAGCGGGCCCCAAGGGGAAGACCCTAGTTTATTTGTTAACTAGGGACAGTTTTTAATGCACGTTCGCAAACTGTACGAGAGTATATGGATTCGAGCAACTTGTCTGGCAATTTCAGATAACTTGGAATTAAATCTTCCTATGTGCTCTAATAAAGGGCATGAATATTTTATAATAGAACACAGTATATATATATATAGTATTTGAAAATTGAACTTTTCAGTTTTTGAAGTAATGAAGTAATGTAGTATTGAAGGAATACAGTAAAGAAATGCCGCTCTGCTTCAGTATTTGATCTATCCAAATTTATATTAATATCAATCGCAAACAAAGTACTCAAGCAGAAGGACATTAAGCTCGATACCAAGCAATATTTTATTTATTATTTCTTAAAAATTGGAACTAGAGCTTTAAAATTTGAGTAGAAAACAACGAAAAAAATACAATAACTCCGCATATTATTCGTAATTGATCTATTGAATACTTCTATTAAAAATGATAAGTGTACAGGTGATTATAGACGTAAAGTGAAATTCTGGTCTTACTCAGTAAAAGAACCAAACTATTCGACAGATAGATAGATATTTATAATGCCCGAAATTCATTTCTAGTCATTTTATATTAAGCTAATGTGGCTTAGTAACGTGAGCGTGTATCATGCAGTCAGCTGCACCCGATTGCAACGTTCTTACTCGTTGCAATTAACGTGATGAAAAATGTTGGAGACACTTTCAACACTTTCTACTTGGCTCGTAGAGTCTTGCCTGCTAAGTACATCGAATGGTGTGAAAGTGTGCTCAAATTATATACATATATTTTATTTTATTTGCATCTGATGTTTCACTGCATCTTGAGTTTAAATGTTTTATACTGGGTATTCATTTCTATGCCGCATAGTTTCGCAACAAATACTCAAATAAAGCCAGAAAAACTCTCAAAATATATGGTGAAACAACATCAAAACAAGATGAATACACATGCATTTATGTAGTCTCTATACATATGTATGTAAGCAGTACGCCATATATATATGTATATACTCATATATCTTTGTGTATGTACATATCTCATCAAAGTCGGTATGGCTGGCCACGCACACGAAAAATCCTGTGCTCAAGAGGGCGTAAATAATTTAATACATCAAGAAAATTGGAAATGAAAGTTTCTTTGTTTTGGCTTGGCCGCAGATAACTTTTAGTTTCAATGCTCGTAGATAGTCTATCATTGAGCGGGGGGTAGATGGGGTGCAGAGACGGGGAGAACCAACAACAAAACAATTGTGCGATTTATTTGCACATTTTACGAGTGGATTGGAGCTCCTTACGAGCTCTTATCGTCAATAATCATCATATGCTCAAATTTTTGGTCGCTTAATTGGAAAATTGTTGTGTTTCTGTGGCTGCGACGGAGTGAGCATTACGGCTGAGCGATTGTTCGATTGGATGATTGGTTGAGCTTCTGAGTGCGTTTGATTGATGAGTGCGTTGGCCGAGAGCCAAAGACTCACTAAACGAACATCAATTCTGTGGCCTGTTGTGATAATATTTGCTATGCCGCAATTTCATTGGCATGCCGAAACGAGCTCTCCATCTGATATAAGAGTGTTTCAGTGTGGTAGTGGTAGTGTGGCAGTGTGTGCCCCCTCGGGGTTAGCGCACTATGCGATTGCGCACGAGCAGCCTTTGGGGTGGAATATCATTTTCATATTTCATCATATTTCATAACAATAGCAGGAGCAGGGCAGTAGCAGTAGCAGTAGCAGTAGCAGGAGCTGGCAACAGCAGCGTGTGGGCGTCAACCAAGTTCTAAAATGGCGACCAAGCTCAAGTCCTTGAGGGGAGTCCTTGGTGGAGGTCCTTTGAAGTTTACTTCGGTTGCCTTCAGTTGCAGCGCACTTTGTGAAAAATGAAAATGGTTTGTCAAAAGAAGTGGAAAACCACAAAGAAAATCTCAGCAGCAGAAGCAGCTATATAGACATGCTGGAACAGATAGATGTAGCCAGATACATATATATAAATAAATGTATATATATCTAAAAATCATCATCATCAAGTCTTTCGCCTGCCCGTATCTCGTACCTGCTTCGTGTTTGCACCTTTTGCGTCCCTCCACCTTCCTGCTTGGACAAAGACACACGGGCCACGTTGAATGCCGCAGACGACTTTGTTCTATCCTCTTTAGCTCAGCTGAGCTTTGGCTCAGTTAGCTGCGGTTCGCTCGCAGTTTCCCCCTATTTTCCCGCTGCCCATTTTCCAATTTCAGCAACTACTGTGCAAAGTTTTGCACATTTTAAATTTTTAGTTGGCTAGTCTCCATTTATTTTTCCTTTTCATTTTCTTTTTCTTGTGCTCAAGGGTTCTCATGTTTTCTAAATACTCGCTCGACATATGTAAGGGTATATTGGTTTGGTGCAATGGCAACGCGAGACTTGATAATATCTATTGGTGCGCTCCCTACTTATATGGGAAATGACAGACGGAGAATAAGGAACTCTCTTATGTCATTGATCAAATTTGATGATACAATATTTATAAACATACATGATAGTTATAAATAAAAGTACTATTTCCTTCCGGTCCTTACAGTTGTTTTCGCTATACTTTGCAGTATAACCTCCTCCTCACATAATACAAAGTCTTGAGCTTCATGGTAGACAAAAAGGAATTCGTAGACTCTATTACTTAAAAATCAGAGTATATACCCGTACATATAAATTCTATTTTAAAAAAGTTAGCGAGTATTGCGCAGTCAATTATGCCCGATTGAACTGTTACAATTCGTTTTTATTTCTGATACTCGACTATTCTCTGCTGTTTGCTAAGGCGTTGTTGAGTTTGCCAATTTCCTATACTAAACAGCACTACAATACATTGGCTGGCATTAATCAAATATACTTTAGATGCGACGTATGAGTAAGATTTAATTTGTTTTTAAATAATTGAATTGCCTGTTCCGAATTTCTGTCATGGCTCAGTTATTGACGGTGCTTCCTCTGGCTACTTCCTCTCAGGTCAGAGCCACTTCAAAGATGGCCGTAAATATTTATAGAGTTTTCTTTTTATTTTTCAACGAGAACTCCTCAAATATGGGCACCTATTTGTGGCCCTTTGCACGAGCAACTGCTGCGAGGCAGCTTTGTGTGTGGTTAGCTCGTGGCTTTGCCTCTACTTGGCCAGGAATTTGCATTTGAGGAGGCGACAGGTGGCAGCACCTGCTAACTGGG